AGAATAATAAACGTTATTCAAAAAAAAAAAAAAAAAGAAGTATTCACGAGTATTTGTGTGTATAACACAGGCTGCGTTTTTAAAAATTTTTCCATTGAATCCGGGAATTTTTCTTCCGTTTTACAATTACAAATTTTTTCCGATCATACCACGTGGTCCACCCTGTATTTACAGAGACAGAGAAAGAAAGAGAAAGAGAGAGACAGTTTCTCGTAGGTAACATTTTTTTTTAACAGCGATTCACACGATTACTTTTCCTCTACTTCTTCTGTGCTGTGTCTTTTCTCGCTATTGCCGTCGTTCTCTCGACCTCGCCTCTTCCCCCACCACCTGTTTTCTATTGTATTCCACACGGTAAATGTGATGTAATATAATACGTACGTACATTAATGTCTCACATTTCGTAGGTCGTCTAACGATCCTTTTCTTTTTTTTTTTTTTTTCCTCTCTCGTCTCCGCCTCTCTCCCCCCCCGTTAATAAATTATCGAATCGCATCGCGTATCCCGCATACTGACTGGTGTTTCGTCTTTTCTCTATTTTTCAGCGCCAAGACTGACCGTGAAGAACATCGAAAATCTTCGGTACAAGAGGCGGCCGGTGATTCACAAGTGCACAAGATGCGGGAAGGGTTATCAATTGGAGACCTCGCTTCGAAGGCATCAAAGGCTCGAGTGCGGGGTCGAGCCGAGGCAGAGCTGCCCAATTTGCGGGAAAAAGTTCACGCACAGGTTCAAATTGACCCACCACTTGGCTTCGTGTAGAAGAAAGCGGGAATATTACGAGACGATATAAAAGTTGTTACGAAAACCAAATAATCTTAGACTTTAGATAACCAAATAAGAAAAAGGAAATCGGCGACGATTAAAAATTTCCCAAAGAAAAGTAATAATTATTAAATAATTTATCTTTTTTACACGTAGCTTATTTATATAAATGAAACATCGAAAATTGTAATTTTTTATAACACTGATATGATTACAACACTGAGACAGACGTATTGCCCGAACGTGTTGTTGGTCGTCAAGGCCAAGTATTGTGTAAAAAATGTTTGATCGCTTTTGTTTTGAGAAAAGTGAGAAAAAGACACTTGTGTGTTTCTATATATTCAAGCATCATAGCA